ATACCTGGTTTTTCTGAATTATTGGATAGTTGCTGGCTGCACTTTGAACCATAGACTGTAAACAACTCATAGACATCTGAAACTTCAGAATCAGAATCCGCTTTATTGGCCAGGTGTGATGGAGACACGAGGAATTTGACTCAGGTACATCAGCTCTCGATGTGCAAAACAGTAAACTTGACAAGTTGGCCCAACTGGACACACAGGTTACAAACCAAAAAGGTTCAAAACACTGATTTATTATTTTAAAATGTCTTGTATTTTATAAGCTCTTTTTTTAATGTAAAATTTTAATTTAAAAAGTAGCCAGCGACCCGAGCTGTCAAATACATGTGGTGGAGTAACAAGTACAGTTTTAACCTCTAAAATGTAGTGAAGTAGAAATGTAAAAAATAAAACTACTTGAGTAAAGTCCAAGTACAAATTGTACTCAGTTACCTAGTTGCCACTAACTGTTCCTCAGAGAAAGCACCATAAAGTGTTTGCATTTGTATGTACGTGTTGATTTCATAGGTCATTGCTGTGGTCTGAAGGGTTCATGAGAACATCGAGGAGAGCAGAGCCTGTTCACTAACATCATGGCTGAGGAGGAGCCTGAGAAGTAAGAGCACCACTACTGCGCCATGTTATTCTGCTATGATCTTATTGTTGGACACCTCAGATAGATCTCTGGTTCTGATGCAACACTTGTGATAATTTTTAAAAAATTAAACAGTGTTAGTGTAAAGAAATGTTAAGTTAGTGGAGATCATCTTTGCATGACACCTCCAACAGTCTGTATGGTATTTTGCACACTGAAACTGAGCCAAAGCAACTATAAAATACTTTGTGTTAATTACCAGCCTGCCACTGAGTGGATGATATGTATAATCTTAATTATCCACCTTTTTCCTGCATGACATGGTTTGAAACCTTACTGATCGGATACCTCGGTTCACAGGTTAGTAACTCTGTGTTGTTTGTGTGCGTGTGCACGTGCTTTCCAGACACTGCTGGGTGTGCTTTGCCACGGAGAGGGACGACCAAAGCGCGGAGTGGGTGAGCCCCTGCAGGTGTAAAGGCTGCACGAAATGGATCCACCAGTCGTGTCTGCAGCGCTGGCTGGACGAGAAGCAGAAGGGAAACAGCGGAGGAGCGGTCAGCTGTCCACAGTGTGGCACTGAATACCATATCATCTTCCCCAAGATGGGCGAGTGACACAACACAGATTAAAGGGGCATTCCGCTGATTCTACACACAAAGTTCATTTTTCTGGTCATGTTGTGTTCAACTCAGCTTGTATAAAGTGTTTGTTCAAGTCTGAGACAATGGCTCCTGTGACACCACATGTCAGATAATCTCAGCTTTGGCTTAGTGCAACATTTCATATTTTAAACCATAAACAGGAAGTGTGGGGTTAAAGAGAAATGGGCATTTAGGAGGCAGAGGATCTAAGGCACTACTGATTTGCATTGTGTCGAATAAGCCCACACTCATCTTGTCATGTCCTTCCTCAGGCCTGCTGGTCTATTTCCTGCAGCAGGTAGACAAAGCTCTGTCGCGGGTCAGTCCCTTCGCTGCTGTTGGGGTGGTGGCCGGCACTATCTACTGGTCTGCTGTCACATACGGAGCTGTGACGGTCATGCAGGTGCACAGACTTAACATCATATCACACAGAAAGATTATATTCAGAGTGTCACAGTCTGTAGGATCTTCAAGTCTTTGCATGTTAATGTGCAGGTTGTGGGACATAAGAAGGGGCTGCATATGATGGAGCGAGCCGACCCTCTCTTCCTGCTTTTTTTTTGTGGTGCTGGTCCTGGGGAAGATGATCCGCTGGGAGGATTATGTAGTGAGGCTGTGGCAGCGGATCTACTACAAACGCACACTCCCCTCAGGTACATACACACACTGGATCGCAAAATGTATCTTTCAACCATGAGAAAGAAATTGTTGGTGGATAAATATGGAGATGGACATTGATGACTGATGTATTTCAGCTGCAAATAAAAAGCTTTACAACCTTGTATGATGTAATTTATGGTTTTAACAAAAACATTGCATTCCAGTCCACAAAGAACACATACAACTAACTCATTTGAACAAATGTAAAACCGTTTTACAGATAAATGTGTCCAGCTTGATTAAATATGAGTAAATATTTGAACATCCTGCTGAGGATATAAATGTCTCAGAATGTTTCTGAGGGTTTTTTGTTGACTTTGAGCTTAATGTGTGTGCAGGGATCACCTGTCTATTCAGAGCTTTGGCTCTTTTCACAGTTTCTGATCCATAAATACATGTTGCTTTTAATGTTGGAAAAATTAAATACCCTGCTTATCAGTACTGTCATGTGGGAACAGATATTGATAAACAGGCAAAACAGGATTGGTGCTGTAGTGTGTATATACAAGTACTAACCAGGCGGGGCGTTTTACCTCAGGTTCCTATTGGTATCTGCCACGTGTCCCTGCTGATGGGCCCGGTGCTGGAGACCACCTCTCTGTGTCCAGGACTCTGTGTGGAGCTCTCATCTTCCCCTCCATTGCCAGTCTGGTGGGAAGGCTGCTGTTTGGACGGGTGCCCTCTAATCTGCAGCGCACGATACTGGTGAATGTTCCTGATGACCTCTACATGTGATTCTGGAAACATGCTGTAGAGGGGTTGCGCTCTGATATTCAGCTTGTTGTATTATGGTTAATTAGTCGAGACAGTGGAAAAAGAAAATTCAGGGCTCTGTTTTTGCAGCAGAGCAGTTTGGGATTGTCTCCTTGACCATCTACCTTTTATACAGAACAGCATGGTAGAAAATCGGTGCAGTAATCCTGCCATGAACAGGTGGTGCACACGTAAGAGGGCCTTAAGTGTCATTATCACATCTGTGTTGATTATAGCTCCTCTTTCCTACAGGGTGGCATCGCATTTGTGTTGATCAAGGGAGTGCTGAAGGTGTATTTCAAACAGCAGCAATACATCATGCAGGCCAACAGACAGATCCTCAACTACCCAGAAACCAGCGGCGACGGACAGAGTGAAGGTGCAGAGGACGACACAGAGGACAGTGGGAATGAATAGTTTCACTGCCTGGGTAGAGGCTATAGAGGAGTCACAGACAACTGAGCAAAACCAAATATATTATACACAGTGCAGAACTAAGCTGAGGGCTGTTGAGGCTATGGGCAGGTGGAAATGTCTGGTAGAAAGGAGATGGCTTTATCAAACGTTAAGTGGAATGACCAATAACTAGGCCGCTATCTGTATGAATTTCCAAGGAGCCTTTTACTGTGCGACTTCAAAGAGGTCTTTGCCATCTGTGACTGTACCATGACCTGAATGTTAACGCTACTGAACCAACACTTTCAGCCTCATTCTTTCGTTTCTGTCTCAGAGATACTTGAAGATGTTTATAAAACATGATTTGTTGCTGTATCTTTAATTATGGTCAGCTGAGAAATCAGAAGTCAGTTCAGGTGTGATGCATAATGACCCTATTCACCCATAAAGATGCAGCGTGTTCACATGCACGTGACTAACCATGTTTCAGTCAGCTTTGTGCCATTGTTTGGTTTCCTAAATGTTTTGTGTATAAGAGCATTGTCTGATAATTGGGGTAGAGACTTGGAGAGCACCGATGCCAGGTGGTGTTAAAGTGACCCGCCACCTCTCCCATGTGTCGGTTTTGAACCTGACCAGCTGAATTGATGCTGCCTGCTGCAACAGAGCCAGTGTGATCCTGTCACTTTGATTGCACATGGTCAGTGGGGTGTGGTTATCTGTGACTCAGGTGGTGGCTTCCTCTTGTAGCACCTAAAGCAGAACTGTTCAACCTCAGTGCTCAGAGTCCACATGTGCTTGTGTGATATGCAGGTGTGGTCATGGGAGATTAAAACACTGATGTAATATTTGTTTGGGATATGTACATTAGAATTAAAGTTTTCTGGTTTATTATGGAGCTATTCATACCCCCGAAAATAAAGCAAAAAAAGAAATTACATGCACAAATTTATTTGATTGTTGAGCTCAAGAACAAAAAATTTGAGAAAATATGTTTAAATGTTGTCTTCTGAGTGCTTTCTTTGCAGTCAGTGCACCTGTATTATAAATTGAGCACTTGTGTGTTGTGAAAAATGTTTAACGAAGCTTTGTTAAACAAATGTATCCTCATTTCTTCACAACTGGATTACCAGAAAGATAAAGCAGAACCTAAGTACATTTACACAAGTATGGCACTTAAGGATAGTTTTGCTGAAATTATTGTAGGTTTTTACTCTAGTACATTTATCTGACAGCTCAAAAACTGGCACAAAATGTGTTGGAAAAAGTAAAAACATTTGTCTAGCTAGTACTACTCAGCGAGACGTGTAGGTCCCACCCCGTCTGTTTGCTGATTGGCTGCTGCGTTGTCCTTTAATAACTGATTGGCTAATTCTGCTGCTGCATAGCGGAGTTAGGGAAGAGAGGGAAGGAAGTCCCTGGTGCAAAAAAAAATTATGTGTTTTGGATAAAATACACATTTTGACTGTTCACTTGATCTTAGTCTGACATGAGAAGAGTCACACTGTTTGTCAACGGAACCTGCACAAATGGAAAGGTAAGCTATGAAAGATAAGACAGGGAAATAAGGCATGTACATTATGTACATGCTAAACAAGATGGCTAGTTTAGCTCGTGTTAGCGTTTGGAGCTAATGTCTGACATTTAGTTTAATTCGCCGTGTGGTAGCATCAGCTGATGAGCGGTGTTGTCGTACAGGTGGTGGCCGTGTACGGTTCCATGGAGGATTTACTGTCCGTGGCCAGTTCAAAACTGGGAATAAGAGCCTCTAGTGTTTATAACGGGAACGGCGGCCTCATAGACGACATAACACTGATCAGGTGAGATCAAACGTGTCAGGCTGTAGCATCACGTGTGAAATGGTCACGTTGTTGTGGTGTCATAGCAAAGACTGTCTCTGCCTGCAGAGATGACGATGTGCTGTACATATCAGAGGGCGATTCGTTTGGAGGTAAGAATTCAGATCATTTAGTAAAACATCACTACTGACAATGTAGAAATACTTAAATAAACGTTCAGAAGCATTATCAGAAAGGTGTAATGAAGTATCAAAACAATAATATAGTAGAGAAGTACTTGTTTTGCACAGAAATGGCCCCTATGACCACCATGATACACTAAGACAAACCCTCAGTGTAATGCTACTCTCACATTTAGCTTTAACATTTAGTTGTTTAGTTTTAATGTGCTAAAAATGGAAATTCTATTTTCATATATAGAGCAGAAACTGAGCCTGTGGTGTCATCAGTTTCCTTAAGGGTTTGCCAGTTATCTACAGTGCATGTACTTGTGTGTAGATCCTCAGGAACACTTCAGAAGTCCTGAAAAGAGACAGGCTCACACTGACTGGCTGACGCTCAACGTCGGTGGACGCTGCTTCACCACCACAAGGTGACTATGACTGTGGTGTAGGCAGCAGTTTATAATAACGTTAATACAATGTGCACCAGTGTTGTTCTGAGTTCTGATCTGTGATCATCTGAGAAAACTTCTGCAGTTTCAATAAAATAAATAAATCCCAGCAGACCACTGGGTTGAGCGTAGGCTTTGTGTGTGAGAGTTCTAACAACCACACCTGGCCCTGCTG